AGCCACTGCCTCGGCCACTCAACGCTCGCCTGGCCGCTTCCCGGCCGTGCCGCTTGCCCGTTCATCGCCTAGCCACCCAGGTCGTCGCCTGTCGCCGCACCCCGCTCGCCCGACCACTTGCCCTACCGTGGCCGAGCACCTAGCCCGTGGCCGACGACCGTGCCGAGGCCTCGCTCATTGGCTAACCGTTGTGCCGACCACCGCGCCGAGCCCGTTGGAGCTGCAGTTACTCCATTATTTAATCAATGTTAAATATAAATTCTAGAAATTAATTTTGCTTTTAATTAGATTTAAAATCCAAATCGTCCGTAAACAATATTCGTCGCACACTTTGTCACTAAAGAATTAATAAAAAATCATCACTAAATCCGTTCCGGACCAACGTCTGTGGCAAAAGTCAAAATTTGGAATGGCAAATTAGTGACGAATTTCACCACGGATCAGTTGGTCGCAAATTAATGACCAAAAAAAAAATTCATCAAAAATTAGCGACAAATTTTGCCACGAATACATTTCATCGCAATTTTTAGACCAAAAAAAAAACATTTCGTCGCAATTTAGAGACCAAAAAAAAATTTCGTGGCACATTAGCGACGAATTTTGCAACGAATACAGTTCGTGGCTAATTTGCGATGAATTTTGCCACGAATAATTAGCGACGAATTTTGCGACGAATACAGTTCGTGGCTAATTTGCGACGAATACAGTTCGTGGCTAATTTGCGATGAATTTTGCGACGGACAATTAGCGACGAATTTTGCGACGAATACAGTTTGTGGATAATTTGCGACGAATTTTGCGACGAATAAAGTTCGTGGCTATTCGTCGCTAAATTTTGTGATGCCGAATTAGCGACAGATTTTTTTCCGTCGCAAATTCGTTTAGCGACGAGTTTTGCTAAATTTTTCGTCGCTAAAACCTTGTTTTTTTGTAGTGTGGCCTATCGGATAACTTTTTTCTGCTGTCACCAAACTTAGGTGGCATTTACAACAGGATCACTGAATTGTGGCTTCAATCACCCAATGCACTGAAGCAAATGGATTCATTTTGGTCAAGATACGGTCAAGTTTTCCGGAAAAATGTTTGCACGGCGACTACGTGATGCTGATATAAAAGCCGTAGCAGCTCCTTTTTTTATGGTTGAAGCCGCTACAATTAATCTTACTACAACTTCTCTGTTATAGCATATGATGATGATCAAATGATCTGCAAACACAAACCAATCTATTATCGGTCTATATTAAGGAATTATTATCTACTTATTCTACTAAGTTACTAGATAATTGTTGAGACCCCTAAATTTTGGGGACCCCATTTAAGTCATTCATTGCATAAGAAAATTAGGAATCGAACCCAGCCCCTAAACAAAAAAAGACATTGTTAGTTTACATTTGTATGTTAAGAGCATTTTCATTTAATTGCATTAAGCCCACAAAAACTGCATTTTGATTGGACTGGAGCTTGTGGACTTAAATAGGGAGGTCTGGATTAAGCCTACAAGAGCATAAAATTCGGCCAAACCCATTTGAGACCTATTATAGCCGAAAATTGCATGTGTATAGCACATGGGGTTGCCAAATTAGGCAAGATTGCATTATTTAATCAAATATGGGGAAATAAAGATTTTGTCTTTACCAAAAATTTCAATTACAAGGGGAATCAACTTAACAAAGGATAAAAGATATTATGTACTGAATAAAGGAATATCTTCATAGTCATATTCACGGATAGATTGAAAGAGAAGAAAGAGAAAATTGGCCACAAGAGAAACCACATTCCTGGCCATGCAAGAATTTCCTAGAAGCAAATGTACATAGGCTGAAAAGGGGAAAGAAGAGAATGTTGGATTCTTGAGAGAAAATAACAAGCTTGGGTTTATGAAAGCATTAGTGTAGGACGCCCACAGGAGCTCTACAGATGGTCACGCTTACATTTCAACTAGAGAGTGGCCGACCTCACCATCATCGTCAATTCCATGCATCAACATCATCATATACACCAACCACACTTCCATAAAGATTCTCCAATATATACACAACAAAACAAAACAAAACACAAGGCTGAAAACAGGAGATTCAGTAGTGATTGGAGAAAGGAGGAGCGCACGTCCAGTTTTAAAAAGAAAGGGACGAGTGCACTAGAAATAAAACTTGTCACAAAAGTATGATCGAGTCCTAAAACTATCAAGAAGTACAATCGAGTCCTTAAATTGTCAAGAAAGTGCAATCGAGTTAGAAAACTTTCAAAAAGTACAATCAAGTCGTAAAACTTGTCACGAAAGTACAAATAAGTCCTAAAATTTAAAAAAAAATGCAATCGACGAAATGACTTGTTTGGATCAATTTGACAATTTTTATGACTTAATTGCACTTCAAGACAAATTTTAGGACTTAATTACACTTTTTGAAAGTTTTATGACTCAATTACACTTTCATGACAAGTTTTAGGACTTCCAATGCAATTATCCAAAAAGAAAAGTTTTAGGTTGCGTTTGGTAGTCTGGATTTTTAATTAGGATAGAATTGGATAGGATAAGATATGAAATTCAAGGGAATTTCTATACCATATATACTGTTTAGTGAATCACAGGTAATAAGGCCGGATATTCTCACATATTTCCATATCCATTAATTGCTATAAACATCATATCAGTGTAAAGAAACCTAAAATTTGCATAAACGGAGATGATAAAAATTTCTCACGACACTCTTGCCTACTTCATTTTTATTTGCTTATTTTTTTATTATTTTCCCTCTCTTTTTTAATTATTTTATTTTTATTTCTTTTTTCCCCTTCCATAATTATCTAATAAAATTTTATTAAATAATAAGCTATACAAATATATCTAAAATATGTAATAAATATAAATACTAAATGTATGTATATATGAAATTTATTCATAAGATGGAAAGAGATTTGAATATGTATATATAAGAATAAATTTATTTCATTATTATTTTGAATTTTTTATATTCAAATTCAAATATTATTTTAATTTGATTAATTTAACAAGTTTGTTATTCAAAAAAAATAACTTTTATATTATGATTATTAGGAATCCCTATCCACCTTTATCCCACCTCCCATATGGAATAATTTTATCCAAGTTATACCCATCATATATTCGACTTTATCTTATTTTGGGCAGACACCAAACACGGAATAGGATAAATTTTATCCTATCTAGAATTTTATTCCGACTACCATACGTAGTCTTAGATGCGACAGAGAATTCTTCAGAGCCTATTCACTTCCCACTTCATGCAGGATACAAAAAAGAGCAGAGAAAGCATCGCTCAAGAAGTTTAAAAAAGTTGACTTCATTTTTATTTGCTTATTTTTTATTATTTTCCCTCTCTTTTTTAATTATTTTCTTTTTAATTTTTTTTCCCCTTCCATCTTTATCTAAGAAAATTTTATTAAATAATAAACTATACAATATATCTAAAATATGTAATAAATATGAATACTAAATGTATATATATATGAAATTTATTCATAAGATAGAAAGAAATTTGAATATATATAAGAACAAATTTACTCTTTGTTAGTTTGAATTTTTTATATTAAAATTCAACTATTATTTATATTCAAATATTATTTTAATTTTATTAATTTAACAAGTCTGTTATTCAAGAAAAATAATTTTTATATTATGATTGATTGGTAAATCGGCATAATTATCCACCATGTGGCGTTATCCAGATTACATTGTGAATGGGTGGTCATGGAATAATTTTATCAGGAGTTATATTTCTGCTTATATATATTATATTGGGCGAGCTTACAAACTCGGGATAGGATAAATTTTATTACATGTAAATTTTATCCCGACTACTATACATAGCCTTAGATTCGACAGAGAATTCTTCGGAGCAGATGAGGACATTCCATTCACTACCCACTTCATGCAGGGTACAAAAAAGAGCAGAGAAAGCATCACTCAAGAAGTTTAAAAAAGTTGAGTCCTCGTTCTGTCGCTGTGACCAGCGCGCCCAGAAAAGCCAGCTTCCTCACGGCTGCCGCTCTGCTCAGTCCCAACGCCTGCTATGACGTCCAGCCCTCTTCCGGCATCCCAGCACCTTCGGCGGTGTTACAAGTCCCTGCTGCCTCATCGAGTTCCCATAGCCCCGCCGTGATTGTCCGGCAATTCCAGAACGCCACCGGGTCCAGCTTGTGCAACAACCCCAAACGCTAAGCCGGCCTTTCACCATGTCGCCGTGCCAATTGCCGCTGGTAGTTCCCTTCATGTGTCACAAGAATTTGTGTAATTTTCACGTTTAATTAAGGGTAATTTGTATTTATTTGTGTATTGCCGGAAAATTGCCAGTTGCCGTGCACTTCCTCGTCGCCGGTCTTGTTGGAATCGAAGTCCAATTTAGGTATTTTTCTAAAACTTGCATAGTTCAAATATATTCAATTGCCTAATTGAAATTATTATCGATTCTAACATTGATTTGTTTTGAGATTTTAGGCATATCCTAAATAATAGGAAATTTCCTTTTTCGAGTCATGCATATAATTGGATTTCGATCTTTAAGACTTAGGATTTATCATTGAAAGTCTTAAAATTTATTAGGAAAATACAATTGAGTCTTAAAATTTACAAAATGTACCATCAAATTCTAAAAGCTTTTTCTTTTCTATTTTGTATCTCCCACATGGCTAAAACGTGAACTAAACTATGTCCTACTTCTTGAGATGCGGGGTAACGTCCTAGCTGCAAGGTGGGATGTACACTGAGTTCCACGGGAATACGCAAAGCTTTAATGGTTCTTCAGATCTTCCACGTTATTTCCACATTATTTACTCATAAAAGATTGGTCGAGAGAGAGAGGGAAGAGATGCCGACACAGCTGTCCCGTGAATTCCTTAATCCGCAACAAATGCCACATGATGGATCGAAAGAAAACGATTGAATAATTAAAATGAATAATTGAATAAAGAGTGTCCTTCCCACATATCAATACAATAAATGCTTGAACAAAGAGGCTCCTAGACCAAAAGGAGACCCCGGTATCATTCACATTACACACGGCGCAACTAATTTAGTCGTGCAAATCCCATGACTTCTTCTGAAATAGCCTATGATTTCTCTCCACACCTTCGAGTCTACAGAGACGGCCGAGTGGAGCGGCTTGAGGGAACAGCCACCGTCCCTCCGTCGTACGACCAGAACACCGGCGTCCTGTCCAAGGACGTCGCCATCTCGGCCTCAACACCACGTCTCTCTGCTAGGGTTTACATCCCAACAGAAACCACCATCTATAATCACTCCGATGCAAATAGAAAGAAACTCCCACTTCTTGTTTACTTCCATGGAGGCGCCTTTTGCGTGGAAACTCCGTTCTCCCCCATGTACCATGACTACCTGAACTCCTTGGTGTCGGAGGCCGATGTGGTTGCTGTGTCCGTTCACTATAGGAGAGCGCCGGAGCATCCGTTGCCGGCGGCATACGACGATTCATGGACTGTGCTTGAATGGGTGTCGTCGCATTCGGGCGGTGATGGTCCCGACGAGTGGCTGAGTGCGTATGCGGACTTGAGGAAGGTGTACGTGGCAGGAGACAGTGCCGGAGGTAACATAGCGCACCATATGGGGCTGCGATTTGGTGAGTTAGTACCAACTATTGGGTCATAGATCTCTATTTGCAATGTGCATCTTGTTAAAATATTGTCCCACGTCGCTTGACAACGGATCCTAAATGTCTTTATATTCATGTGGTCTCCCTCTACCAATAAACTTAAGCTTTTTGGTTGAATTTTCTAACATGTATCAGAGTCAGTGCTATTCCTTTTTGCGATTATGCGTCCACTCCCATTAGTCAAATATGTGCCACTCGTAATCCGGCTTACATGTGAGAGGGGTTTGAAGTATTGTCATATATCTCGCTTGATAATGGATGATAAATATTATTTGTTTTCATGTAGTCTCAATTTATCTATAAGATTAAACTTTTGGGTTGGACTTTCTAACACATCCCTTAATATTTCAATCAATCGTACCTGTTGAATGCCTCATTGATAAGCATCTGTTGAGATTGATTAAGAAACATGGACCATAAGGATTCCCATTTGATGTCTCAATCAATCTCGATATTTGACGTTTGTAAATGTGGTCTTGATCAACGATTAAGATTGATTGCAACACCAAGGAGGGTACCTTTATGTCCTTCATATGATTAATTGGTCCTCCTTTGGCTTGGATAGCGATTGAAGTCGCTTGTTAAGAAGTATATTGATATCTCAATGTTCAATTAAAGCTTGTTATGTAGATGGAAAATTGGATCACATCGTCAGTGTAAAGAATATTTTACGCAAACAATCTTATTCGTCCTTGATCTGAGAGCTTCAACTCCTCGCTCACTCCATAGAATCTTAGTGGGATTCTTTCGTGAGGTGCACCAGATTTAACATGTTGAGTAGAATTTAATGTACTCAATGCATTCATGAGTTGAAGACGTCCTCTCACACTAGGGAAATGACAATGTCTTGGTTGGCGTGACTAGGCAGAACAAGAACCGTACATGCAAGGAACTTTATCCCAATTTCTTAGTGAAGTGAATATAAAAAGGATTTTTTCTAGTTCGATTCAAGTTCCTAGGTTGAGTACACCCACCACAACAAGCTTTGCCATGTGCCTTGTTGAAGCCTGCGTGAAGTCAGGAGTAGTCTTTTGCGTATTTAAAAATGGTAAAAATAATTGAGTTTTGTTAAAGCGAAACTTTAAAATATGTTTAAACTTCAAATCTACTAAATTGAATATTAAATGCGTGAAATCAGTAGTAGTTTTCGTTTTCTTTTTTAGGTAAATGCTTAGCTCTCGAATGTAAAAGGTTGTGGCTTCTTGTTCTCAATGGTTTAATGATGATAGCCTTTTAAAAAGTCATTGGTAATAAAGATATTTGAACTTCTATTTAAATTAAAAGTGTAGATAAAAAATGATATTACATATATAGATGTTAATAATTTGCCTTCAGTGACACGATACTAATAAATACTCGAAGTTGAGACAAAACACGATAGAGATATTGTGAGAAAATAAGGTCCCAAAATTGAAAGTTAAAAAAGTGGATCAAAGTCAAATTCTTACTCTCTTTTTTCAGATTAGTTATTTGTTTCAAAATATGCATTCAAATCATAAAATTGCGGCTTTGGAAAGGTCCGAGTACATAATTCTTTGGAGAAATAGGGCACCAAAAGGGAGACGAAAGCTGCTGGCAATAGATAAATATAGATAAATCGATATAGATGATAGATAAGGAATCCAAATGCTGCGAAATAAGTTAGATTTGCATGTGGGTGAGATATGCTGAGACTAATTGCTTGTGGCTAACTAACCCCTGCTATTACTACCTAGTATACAATGTTGAATGATTGCTCATATGTATATCCCACAAAATGTGCTAGTTCTATATATAAATTTGTCCACTTCCTTGCCTAAACTGGCACAATTTTTTTTAATAGGTTGCGCTCTCAAATCTAAGACTTCATCCTGGGTTGGAGGAATTGACCTTAGAGGCATCATCTTGGTGCAACCATTTTTCATGGGCAACGAACCAATCGGTAACGAGAGAACCAACCTCGCGACGCGGTCCTTGCTCGTCGGGCTGTGGCGCTTGGCGTGCCCGTCGGCCACGGACGGGTGCGACGACCCGCGAATCAACCCGGAAAAGGATCCAAGGCTCTCGAGCATGGGTTGCGCTCGGGTCCTCATCTTCATTGCGGAGAAAGAGGTGCAGAGGGAGCGAGAGTGGCTTTACCGGGACTTGCTGGTGAAGAGCGGGTGGGAAGGAAGCGTGGAGGTCATCGAGGCGAAAGGAGAGGGTCACCAGTTTCATCTGTTCCATCCAACGAGTGATGACGCAGTGAGTCTGATGAGACGATTTGTTTCTTTCCTGAAAGAGAACGAGATCGGTCGTGGGTGATGGGGATTGCCTTCTTTCTTCTTTGATTGGTATGGCGATTGCTTATGGTGTTGAATAAAGTCACAAATAAATAAGGTGTATGCGTCGATTTTCATCGGGGACTTGGTTAAATATGATTATTTGTATTAGGGGTGTGGAAAAACACAGGACCAAACCGGGAACTGTCCGAACCGGCCGATTCTGAATAATGGGAACCGGTTCCCAATTCCCGGTTCCAATTTATTGAAATCGATGAGTACCAGTTTGGTTCTATTGGAACCGCGAACCGGTAGGTGTGGAACCACCCACATGGACCACTCGGACCATATTGGTGTGCGTGCATAATTTTTTATGTTTTCAAGACCCTAATTCCAGCTTTCACGCTCCTCATTCCTCACACTCTCTCTCAAGAAAACCCTAATTCCTCTCATCTCTCTTTTATCTTGCTCTCTCACTCTCTATCGTAGTCTCGCTCTCTCAATCTATCTCGCAATCTCAATCTATCAGACACTCTCGCAACTCACTCTCAACGCTCGCAGGTTGCAACCTTGATCACCGCTTAGGATGTGAATCGCTCTTCTCACAGCCTCGCTCGCTCACGACACTTGTCACTTCCTCTCCTATAAGTTCAAAACCCTAATTAGCATTTGCCCCATTTCCAGTTTCTTCACTCAAGTCTCACGCTTCTCTCTCGCAGTCATAGCCTCGCTCGCAATTGTAGCCTTGCTCGCTGCTCATGACGCTTGTCACTCCTTTCGCAGCCTCACTCCCTCATGGCGCTTGTCACTCCCTCTCCCGTAAGTTCTCGGTCCCCCTCTTCGACGTATTGTCTAAGAGGTTGTGCATTGGTACTAGATCTTGGCAGAGGTCCATACGATAATGACTTGTTGGGTTAAGCTTTTCTCTATGATTATTCAGCTGATTTTGAAGTGTATGGTAGTTGCTGTTGTTTTGTGACTGAACAGACTTGAAAGTAGAGTCACAAACATCAGTTAGTGTTTGCTGTGATTGCTCAATAATTGTTTCGGAAGGTGATTCTCATTTACATGATATCACGGTCAGTTCCATGACCCACCCGGGAACCAATGGGCAATTCTCAATTCCCATTTTGTAAAATCGACTCTTAATGGGCAGTTTCCAGTTCCAAGGTGGAAACCAGTCTACCCTAAAATTGATCATCTTAATGATTATTGTAACTGCTTCTGATTTCAAGTATTTAGTAATATATGTAGCATGAAAGAACAAAATATATAAAGAGCAAGTAACTCCAACATTTATCTCTCTCTCTCTTTTTTCTCTCATTGATTCTAAATTTGGAACAAAGTAAAAGAGGGATAAAATCTTCTGAAATATACAAATACCATTCCGAAACATTTTTAAGTTTCGCTTTTTATCTCTCATTTATTATATAATTGAAAAAATGTGTATAGTTATAGATAAATTTTTATAGAAACATAATTTATTCAGTAAATTTAAAAATCAAGTGAAAAGAGAGAAATAGATATTATTTAGATTAATAATATTCATAATTTTGAATTATAACTTATCTAACTTTTTTCAACATATGAAGAAGCAAAACAATTTATCTATTCAATTTAGATTTATATTAGAATAATTTGAAGGATTGCATATCTTATTGAATTCATTTACTCAATATTCATTAAGTATAAATATTAAAATGTGTTCTATCAATAATCACAAAATAAATATTCAAGAAACATGCACAATGACATTTCATTCAATTTTATGTCTTTCTCTTGAAATCCACTTATTTTAAATATATCTTATATCCTTTAAAGCAAATCTGTTCAGTAGAAAGTTAAATTGAACATAACTTTTTGTTCTAAAGTTCACGTACTTCGAATTGATTTAAAAAAAAAAAAAGATAAGAGAGAAGTTCGTGAGATAAAGTCTCTACCAAATTAACGTGATACAACTATATAAGGCTATCAACTGGCTTAACACTAAACACACTAATGACTAAACAAATTCTAAGATACTAATGCTCAACTAAATGAATAACTGCTGTGATGTTAATCTTCCGCACGTTTGAATATAGCGGTACGAAAAAAATGTTTGGTTAGGGGACAAATAGTACTTTTGCCCTTCGCGAGGGGCCAATCTGTTATCCCACTTTTCAGATATCAAGCTAGCCCATTGTTTCGGAGAGGTTAATTAGATCATAGATTTGTTAGTTTAAGGCTCAAAGGAAAATGTTCTTCCTCAAAACTGGCTTTCCTTTCTCCCCTCGAGCCCTTTTGACTCTTTTACGTAACGAAGCCCCGGCTCCTCTGGTTTCCCCGAGTAAATGAATAAAACACCTTTTCGACCAAAAGAAAATGGCAATTGGCATGTAAGGAGTATTTCTTTGTACATAGATTATGTAACTAGGGGTAATTACTTTTAAAAATAATTAACTAGCTATTTCAATCAATAGTGATAAAGATGACTTAGGTCATAACTAACGGTAAAAGATTAGAACATGGGGTGCATAGTGTGGAAAACTAAAGAACCCGTGGATCCCCACTAAGGCAAGCTCATCTTAGAGAACAAAAGGTAGTATCAAGCGCCATTACATTATCACAATCTTGGGAAAAAAGGGCCTTGAATCCAACAAAAAGGAAACATGAATTTCGTCAAAAGGTGTTGTGATGTGAAGGACAATCCTTGGCTTAATCTCTCTCTCGCCATATAAACTTTATTTGGGATCGGTCCAAACCATCTTGGAAATCGGACAAGGACCAGCCAGGCAATGCTCACCTCTAGTTATAACTAAACATATCATATCCCTGATTATTATAATATTGCCCGGTAAAATTCAACGATGGCTATTAAACTTTAATGGATTTTTGCAATCCAAGTTATTGGATTTTGATTTGAATTATACCACATTCCCTTTTTATCTTCTTACAATTGATGCATTTTGACAAGAACCCGACCAATATTTCAACAAAATGCTGACATTGCAGACACGTGACATTGGCGTGGCATCTAAAATTGGCCAAGTTTCCACAATGTCGGCACTTACAATGGAAAATCCACTTCCTAAAAATTAGCCAAATTCCAATCAAAGTGCATCCATTGAAAAAATCATGAAAACTTAGTGAATTTAATGATTAAAATCGAAGTTTATTGACTTGCTTGCAAGATTTTTTACATCTTAATGACCATCGATGAAATTTACCCCAATATTTCCAGGGCCAAACCCCATTGCCAATTACATCTATCCCCAGTAGATACTTTTACTTTGACAAGCAGTCGTTACAAAGGTAGAAAGATAAAAACTTCTACGATTTGAGATGGGATTTCTCATAGACATATGCATTTGTGAATATATAGCAATGCCCATGACTGTTACCTAAAACCAGCTTAGACTAGTAAAAATATCTACCTCGAAACTATTTATAAATTATAATTAACATATACGAGAATAATGTGTTCGGAGAAGAAAACACGACCACACCTTCAATTAGTTAATGACATTAGTTAGCAGACAAAGTATCTTAAAAGGGTCAATATCATAAAAAAAAAATCTCAAACTAATAGCCTAATAATACATTTACATCAGACTATTTTTTGTCTAAAAAGGATACCAAATGGGTATCCTCGTAACAAATTTACTTCAAATAAATTTTTGTCTCATAAAAAATTCTAAATTGGTATTACACAACAAATTTACCTAAAGTAATTTTCTTCCCAGAAAAAATCCTAAATCGGTACTCTTGACCCAAAATTTACCTTTCCTTAAAATGCATACCTGTCAACACACGTGAATTTTTCAGGTCGGATATATCATTCTCCACATTGTATCTGTCTTGCAGTCATCTGTCACGTGTGTTCACGCATATGCATTTTAACAAAATATTAGACGGGATGCAAACGGAAGGTAGATTTGGATCGGGATACTGGTTGGTTTTTTCTTTAGACGAAAATTAGTTCGTGATTAATTTGTCATAGGTATCAAGTATAGAACACTATGTCATTGAGATGCTAACTTAGAACTTTTTATGAGATGAAAATTGATTTGAAGTAAGTCTATTATGAGCCGGTAGTTTAAGATTTTTAATGGTATTAACCAATCTTAAACCTACAATTCTTTTTCTTTTTTTTTGCCACCACTCTACTAAAAAATTTGGTTTGCGGCGGCCCGCCTGACATCAACCCTTCTTCCTAAATTTTTAACTTGCTAAAAATAATTTATTCCGACCTTTACAGTTCTAAAGCAACTTCGAGCGACTCAACGAAAACTCTTTCCACAGCAATCTATAGATAAATATTAGTGAAATTATTTAAAATTACAAAAAGCAAAGTTTCGGATGTAACACGGAAAAAGACACAAAGTAAAAGTAAAAAAAAAATTCACTAAACTTCTTATAACCACGTAACAACTGCGAAGAAAATGGAGCAGCAGTAATTGTTTTTTTATTCAACTCATTGTTAGTGTAGAAAAATTCGTTGGAGGAGTGACGTGTGCATTTGTAATTGATTTTCTATCCCAATATTTCCACGCATCAATCATCAAACAGTAAATGTATAACTTATTTTTTACCCCGACAGTAAATCTAATAAAAATCCTAAATGTTATTGCATTTTCCCAACATAATCGCCGTAGGCCATCACCGGTGGTCGGCTCCGGCGATGGGTAGGTTAGTTTTTTTTTTTGATAAATAAGATAATTCTCATAGTCTATTTGCAAAAAAAATTCACCAAATAATAATTGGAGTGGGAAATGACTGAAGAGTGATCACACCCTTAATAATACTAATATGGAGAGCATCACGGTTCACCGACGACGTTGCCGGCGACGACACGGGCCCGAGTCACCATCGTGGAGAGGATATCGTTCGCGATCGTGTCGAAGGGCGACCCCACACAGAACCCGCCGCCGTGGTAGTGGACGAGGAGGGGCAGTTTCCTGTCCGGGCCGTCGGTCTTCGGGACGAAGATGCGGGCCGACACGCCGGTCTCGGGCGAGACGACGAAGTCCTTGGACTTGATCCCCGTCGACGGATCGAGCCCCGCGGGGACGGGGGCGGACGCGATCGGGCAGCTCGTGTCTCTCCACGCGTCCATCCTTGTGGACTCTGAAGAAGGGATGGAAATCGTGCGCTAGCCTAAGTCCCATTTCCATTTCTGCAACAACGGTGTGAAACTGAGAGAGATAGATGATGATGACGAAGAGGATATTTATGCCGTGAGCATTTAGAACGGTGTCGTTTTGGTGGGGACGTCGCAGCGGATATTTTAAATAGGTGGAGCAATTGTTCCAACTAGCGACGCAAATGGATGGGTAGGGCCGGATTTGATT